ATCAAAAGCGTAAGTTTATTGTTAACGCACAGTGCGGAGGGCCAGCACATCCACTCAAAAGCAGCATGTCCCAGCTCTGGGGGCCAGAGCCCCGAGCTTCCTGTATACAAGACACACACCAAAGATAGTCACGCCCACAACGGAGCGGAGGGGGCCACCGGTGAGGAGGCGCACAGGAAGCGCCGGCGCTATCCCCTGTGGTGGCAGTGGCATGGGGTGTGAACAGACAGACAATGGTGGAAATGCAGGTCATACAGATGCAAGACGGAAAGACACAAGGGTGTGACAGACAGCAGGGACCTTCACAAAGCTCAGCATGGCGTCAGAAGGTTGTCTGCATTGATAAAAGGCCTTTGACGTCCGTGTATTTGCTGCGGCTGGTTTTAATGTAATTACTCCAAAAACTGTCACAGTAGGGTTGTGTGTGGGATAAACTAGGAACAAAACCCACACCCCCCCCCCCCTAGGGACTAATGTTGCCACCTGGAAGCACTAAAACAAGACAGACAAGATGCAAAACCGGGACAATTGGGTTTTAATGTGAAAATGTACATAAAATTGAACATGGGAGGACCAGAAACCAGGAGCTGAACCCAGAGACTAAGCTAAGGACGGACGCAGGGATGTCTTTTTTCAAAACTCAGCCAACCTCACTTTCCCCTTTAACCTGAACTTTTACTACACATCAATAAGTAAAATGACTGCCTTTCACAAAACACTGTTGGATTTTGTCCTTTTTTTCCAAGAACAAGAAAGGAAAAGTTTAACAAAGAAGTGGAAACAAACTGCAAAAGAAGAATGCAGACAGACCGAGCTGTAGATCATCGGAGGAACATCCTCCAAAGCAGCACATAACAGTTTTTCTATTACCACAACTTAGCGTTGACAATGTATTACGCTGGGACCCCATAGGGGACCCATGACGGGTCCCAGACTGGGGACTTTTAACTTTCTAAGTAATACAAAACAGTAAAATAAAAAACAAACAACTCTTTTAAAGGAATTTTATTTTAGATTTTTTCGAATTGCAGTGATTCTATTTTTGACATATAATTTAATGCCACTCCATGTCCGATGTCAAAGTCATCTGGTGAGGCATTAATGCAGGCCAGGCCAGGCAGGCCAGGCAGTGAGAAACTTCCCAGGGACTTTTCCAGTCTGTATGAAAGGTGGTCATGGTCTTCTCCACAGCCTTCACCTCAGATGCCGACCATGGCTTTCTTACACGTTCTAGGGAGAGAAATAAAAATATATTAGCAATATACACTCCCAGGGTTAGGACCAAGCAGCCTGGCTGTAATCCCCCACCTGGTACACTTACCAGAAGGGGCACTGCCACTACCATGGGGTGCATCTGGATGAATGGTTGAAGGTTCTCCGCTTGAAGTTTCTTTTAGCCCGTCCGTTTGCGAGAGGATCTCTACTGCTCTAGGCTCTCCCTGTCGCACAGAAAATAAAAATACAAGTGGCCTTTAGGGGAAAAAAATTATACATATTTTAATAATATCAAGAATTACCTTCAGGCTCAATGTGTATCTGGTCGAGGCTCTTTCCTTTGAATTCCGTCACTCTTCCCTGCTCCATGGCCATTAACACTTTGCTGATTTTGGACCAGCTCCAGTGTCCCCTCTGGTAGTCTGTAATATTGCCTGTGGATGCGAATGTCATGGCCGAGGAAGTTGGCTGAGTATGTCCATTTCATTCTCTTTCATATTGAGAACTGTAGACATAGTAGCTATGTGCTTTCTAAGTTTGGTTGAGGATAGCATCTCTGGATGCACCGCACCACATTCTTTGGCTACCTGCCGTAGGGAGTCTGATCCCCTGATGTGGGTGTCTGCGCCCGGGCGGGAAAAGAAGTATGGGGTTATGGTCAGAGATGGAACAGGCCCTTCTGTTCTCCACCAGCACCTCCATCGAAGCAATCATTTCAGGAGTCAAAAGAACCGGCACTTTCCGACTTCTTTTCCCTTTAATTTCAATGCGTTGAAAATGCTGACACAGCTTTTTCTCAAGTTGGGACAGTCCCAGAGCAATGTCAGAATGGATCCCAGTCTTACTTCTTAAGGTAAAGGCTGTCAGTGGCATCTTTGAAACCTCACCTTCCCTTCTTCGATTGAAAAAATAGATGACCTCACAAAGAGTCACTGCCAGTTTAGACCAATGCTTAGAGGTTGGCTCACTTATTAGGGTTTGCACATATTCAGGGTCGACATACCTCAATATGTGCATGCATGGCTCTAACGTCCTCAGTCAGAGGGAGCAGGTCCGGAGTGTTCCACTTGGCTTGCCGAGGGTCTGTAGGGCAGCAGAAGAAACACAGACGTCCCACCTCTTCTCAAAAAGCAGCCGGCTTCGTTGGAGGATTTTAATAAATAGTTCATCAACACAATGCTCCATTTTTGAGTCACATTCAAGAATATCTGCTAGCTTTCTGAGGCTATGGCCGAGTTTGAGGGCCAAGGATGGAGTCTTGTATTGATTTGTTTCCTCATCATATCCAGCCACAGACCTAGACTGCATCAATCACATGGTTAAAGTTGGAAGGAATAAAGAAGATCCTTAATTGTTTTCAGTTTCCCTGCGGTTTTTGCTTGTTACTTTAACCTACCGACTTCTCTCATTTTCTGCCTAATGTAATCGATGCTTAGTCTCATGCCCGTGTTTTTCAGGTGCCTAATGTCAGAATCTGCTTTGCATATTGTTAGTCTTAATCAGCACATGCCCGCATGTGTCTGGGTAAGTAGCTTCAAGGTGTTTACTCTCCCGAGTCTCAACGGAGCAGAAGGGGCCCCTTTCTGCAGTTTGCAGTGCATGGGGTGTGCACAGAGACAGACAATGGTGGAAATGCAGGTCATACAAATGCAAGACGACAAGGACACACGGGTGGAGACAGACAGCAGTGACCTTCACCAAAGCACAGCATTGCGTCCAAATGTCGTCCCGCATTTGAATAAAAGGCCTTTGAACGTCCGTCGTATTGCTGCGGCTGGTTTAATTGTAATTACTCCAAAAACGTCACCACAGGGTGTAGACCCCAGGACTTGAGGCTTGTAGACCCAGGACTGAGCCTGTAGGACCCCGGACTGAAGCTCTGGACCCCAGACTGAGGCCTGTAGACCCAGGACTGAGGCTAAAGACCCCAGGCTGAGGTTTGTAGACCCAGGACTGAGTTTTAGCCCATGGCTGAGGCTGTAGACCCAGGACTGAGGCTGTAGACCCATGACTGAGGCTGTAGATCCAGGGACCTGCGGCTGTTATCCCAGGACTGAGCCTGTAGACCCAGGACTGAGGCTCTAGACCCCAGGACGTGAGACCAGGACTGATGACTGAGGCTGTAGACCCAGACTGAGGCGTAGACCCAGGTCTGAGGCTGTATACCCAGGACTGAGGCTGTAAGACCCAGGACTGAGGCTGTAGACCCCTGGTAGGACTGAGGACTGAGGCTTGCTGTAGGCTGTAGACCCAGGACTGAGGCTGTAGACCCAGGACTGAGGCTGTAGACCCAGACTGAGGCTGTAGACCCAGGACCCAGGACTGAGGCAGTAGACCCAGGACTGAGGCTGTAGACCCAGGACTGAGGCTGTAGACCCAGGACTGAGGCTGTAGACCCCAGGACTGAGGCGTAGACCCAGGACTGAGGCTGTAGACCCAGGACTGAGGCTGTAGACCCAGGACTGAGGCTGTAAGACCCAGACTGAGGCTGTAGACCCAGGACTGAGGCTGTAGACCCAGGACTGAGGACTGGCTGTAGACCCAGGACTGAGGCTGTAGACCCAGGACTGAGGCTGTAGACCCAGGACTGAGGCTGTAGACCCAGGACTGAGGCTGTAGACCCAGGACTGAGGCTGTAGACCCAGGACTGAGGCTGTAGACCCCAGGACTGAGGCTGTAGACCCAGGACTGAGGCTGTAGACCCAGACTGAGGCTGTAGACCCAGGACTGAGGCTGTAGACCCAGGGACTGAGGCTGTAGACCCAGGACTGAGGCTGTAGTCCCCCTGAGGTTAGCTGTAGACCCGGACTGAGGCGGTAACCCCCAGGACTGCGGCTGTAGACCCAGGTGAGGCAGAAGAATTCCAGACTGGACTGTATCCCAGGACCTGAGGCTGGAAGGCACAGGACTGAAGCCTGTAGAACCATGACTACCTGTAGACCCAGGACTGAGGCTCTAAGACCAGACTGAAGCTCTGGAGGACCCGGACTGAGCTGTGAACCACTGGACTGCGGCTGTAGACCCAGGACTGAGGCGAATAAGACACAGGGCAGAGCTGTAGACCCAGGACTGAGGGCTGTATGACACAGGACTGAGCCTGTAGACCCAGGCCTGAAGCTCTGGACCCAGGACATAGGCTGTAGACCCAGGACTGAGGCTTAAAAGCCCCAGGGCAGAGGTTGTAACCCCAACTGAGTTTTAGAACTCATGGCTGAGCTGTAGACTCCAGGAACCTGAGGCCACATCCACACAGCCACCTTTTAGTTTAGTCTTGTCTCTTCTACGTCTATAAAACCATCGCATAAAGCTGGGGTACCTAACCTTCAAGCCACAAAATGGAAAAAGTTGAGTTATCAGACATCACCGCATAGAATTCTGTAAAATGTCGTTCATTAACAATTACTACATCATTCAATCTCGATAAGACAAAACAAACGTACAAATGTAATGAATAAATCCAACTTGTTCCTCTCTGCAAACACTTCAGTTCTATCACTAGTTTGCACGTAAATGTACATATCATCTTGGCCTCTCACATATTTGGATCCGCTTTTTCAGACAGAAAAGTGAAAAAGAAAGGACCCCCTTCCACTCGGCCAATCAGCTCTCAGCCCAAAGTGACAGTGCTCTTACTTACTAATTTTTCTCTTCCTGTTGGGACAAACACAAACATAGAGGTATCCCTGACTGACTAATCTGTCGCTGGACTAACATAGTATTTGTAGTTTTGAAGTAATAGCCAATCTCTAGAGTTTCCAAAGCTGTGGTCCGTGGTCGGGCTGCAGATGAACCAATCACAGCTCAGGTAAGTCGCTCCATGGTCTGGCTTGGACTGGGTTTTTTAGTCTTTGCCTAGTCCATGTTTTTAGTGTTTGATCCTAGTTTAGACCAGTTTGTGTCATCTCCGGAAATCCCTCAGAGTTTATGTGAGGTAGGTCCAGTTTGTTTTAGCTTAAAGAGCGACTAAACACCTGTGCCCAGCCTGACTCCGCCCACATGAAGATTTGAAAATGTTCTCTAAAAAGGGCGTTGCCTGGAGGACCAAGGGACAAGAAGGGGGGCTTAGAGTTGGGCGTGGTCTGGGCTGTGATTGACAGCTCACTTGTCACACAAAAAAAACAGACAGTTGTCATTGCTGCTTAAAGCAATAGTTTACAGACCAGAAAGTCTCATTCCACCCTTGTTTACACACTAAGATAATTGTAAAGCTACACACCTGAACCTAATCACACTCAATAATCTCAGAATGACTCATGTAATTTAATTTTAATCCACTAGATGGCGCCAGAATACTCCAAACTGCAGCTGGGCGTGTGTGAGAGTTGAATGGGTTTATATCACTGGCTCTGACAGACTGACGTCACACAAAACAACTGATGTCATAGAGAACTTCAGAGTCAATGGAGAGGCCAGGACCAAATTAAAATGTAGTACCACCAAAAAGGTTGAGAGGGCGCCACACAGACGTTTTTTGGCTCAAAAGTGATATTTTATCTAATTTGAACTAAAATGTCAAAAAAATGACCAGGATATGTAGACAGCACTACAATACACATATTTATGGAGTTTATGAGTTGAAAAAAGTTGATTTGGCGTTTAGTCGCTCTTTAACACAAGTTTTATTTGACTTCATTCATTCAATATGTAGATAATAGATTGATATAGAGGACAACAACAGCAAAGAATCTTGGGAATATTCTGTTGAAGAGTCCAGTCTTGGTGTACTTTAAAATCACATATATGTATTGTATTGTTTTGTATTATATCAGTGTAACACGCAAGAAGACGACCATACAAAAAAAAGTGGATTCACCAACAGCAGAATAGAAAATCTAACAATTAAAGGTGCTCTCTCCACCGAACCGAACATCCAGCATTTTCTTTTCTTTGTCACAACAGGGAGAGTGGAGCAAATGTGGAATAGGTCATTTAAGGTTTTAGAAAATCCGATTGGTAGTTTAGTTTTGTCACTGTATTACATAACCTCTCTGATCTAAAATCCTATCAAATTAATCCTGAGTCTGTCAATTTTTGTTTTTTAGTCTGTGGACAGTAGGAATAGTCTTGGGTTGATCTTGTGTCTTGCAGGAGTCTGGGCTGAAGGTGAACCATCCGGCCTCGTTCGCTGTGCGTCTGAACGGAGCCCAGGGGAAGATGGAGGCTCAGGTCCACAGTCCGTCCGGAGCCCTGGACGAGTGCGTGGTGACGGAGATCGAGAAAGGTTGAGCCTATTTGTCATCAATGGACTATTTTGTTGCTGGAAATATTATGTGGCACTTGAAGTATTCCATAAAAGTAATAACGGCACATTTGTCATGACTGATTATTAATTCTGGCCCTTACAGCTAGCTAAGATACATAGCAGCTACTTACAGTATATTCTTTATGTTTTGTGCTACCTGTGTGCTCTTACTACTTACTGTCCAGTGTCTTCTTACCTTAACTTAAAGCTGGGCTATGTAACTTTCAAATCACAGAAAATCTATTTGGTTCCATTTCTTCTATCGCTATAGTTTCCACATGTGTGTATTTAGGCCTCTGTCAAATCTTTGGATCAGCTTTTTCAGACAGAAAAGTGATAAAGAGAGGACCACACTCACTCAGCCAATCAGCTCTCAGTCCTCAAAGCATCAAAATCGACAACTTACTTTCAAGTGTGCGAAAGAAGAAAGGCTTTTTAGTCACATAACCCCATATTTGACACATGATTAGTCATAATGTTCACTTTTACAAGACACGGGCTGAGTGGATAGCACTCTCGCCTCTCAGCAAGAAGGTCCTGGGTTCGAATCCCGGTCGGACCAGGGCCTTTCTGACTGGAGTTTGCATGTTCTCCCCGTGTCTGCGTAGGTTTCCTCCGGGTACTCCGGTTTCCCCTACCGCTAAAAATATGTAAAATAGTTCTGGCATGTGCCTCTTGTACTGGCGACCCCGCTCCCATCTCTGTGTGGAGTGAGAGACAAATGCCCAAAAAAATAACAATTGTAAACCACTTTGAGACTCAGCTCTGCAGTGAAAAGGCGGTATATAAATAATTACTTACTTACTTACTTGCTTTTGGGACTAAGAAATTGTAGAATCGATGTTATATTAAAGTTAAGAAAAGGTGAATGGATCTGAAAAAGGAAGGGGGTTTTTGGGCAAATTCATATTCAGCCAAAAACAAAATGTCTCATCTACACAACATGGATGATATTCAGTACTTTCCCACAATGCCCCGATAGTGCGACCAATTCAATACCACTAAACTATTAAAATACTTATATAATACTATTAGTGTGTCAGTGTACGTATCGGTTCTCTTTGTGTTCTGTCCTTAATCCGTGGTTCTGTTTGTGGCAGATAAATATGTGATTCGGTTCATTCCCCGAGAGAACGGCGTCCACAACATCGACGTCAAGTTTAACGGCGCTCACATCCCAGGAAGTCCTTTTCAGGTCAGGGTGGGAGAACCGGGACAGAGCGGAGAGGCGGGTCTGGTAACGGCCTACGGAGGCGGACTGGAGAGGGGGACCACAGGTGAGACTCTGTGAGAGACTGTGTGTGAGACTGTGTGTGTGAGACTCAGTGTGAGACTGTGTGTGAGACTGTGTGAGAGACTCTGTGTGAGAGACTGTGAGACTGTGTGTGAGACTGTGTGTGAGACTCTGTGTGAGAGACTGTGAGACTGTGTGTGAGACTGTGTGTGAGACTGTGTGTGAGACTCAGTGTGAGACTGTGTGTGAGACTGTGTGAGAGACTCTGTGTGAGACTCTGTGAGACTGTGTGTGAGACTGTGTGTGAGACTGTGTGTGAGACTCAGTGTGAGACTGTGTGTGAGACTGTGTGAGAGACTCTGTGTGAGACTCTGTGAGACTGTGTGTGAGACTGTGTGAGACTCTGTGTGAGACTCTGTGTGAGACTGTGTGTGAGACTGTGTGTGAGACTGTGTGTGAGACTGTGTGAGACTCTGTGTGAGAGACTGTGTGTGAGACTCTGTGTGAGACTGTGTGAGAGACTGTGTGAGAGACTGTGTGTGAGACTGTGTGTGAGACTCTGTGTGAGACTGTGTGAGACTGTGTGTGAGACTGTGTGACTCTGTGTGAGAGACTCTGTGAGAGACTCTGTGAGAGACTATGTGAGACTCTGTGTGAGACTCTGTGTGAGACTCTGTGAGACTCTGTGTGAGACTGTGTGAGACTCTGTGTGAGACTCTGTGTGAGACTGTGTGAGACTCTGTGTGAGACTGTGTGAGACTCTGTGTGAGACTGTGTGAGACTCTGTGTGAGACTCTGTGTGAGACTCTGTGAGAGACTCTGTGTGAGACTCTGTGAGACTCTGTGAGAGACATGTCATTTTAAGGTTTTTAAGACTTTACTTTATGATGATTTAGAAACAATACAAAAACATCTCAATAACTCCTTTTTTCAAGGTTATTTTCTTCTTCAAGGTTATTTTCTTTGAATACAAGTCAGATGATTGGAATAATAACAATGACTCAAACACATTTACAGGAATCTCCAAAAACATCGATACGACTTAATGGAAAAAGAAAATAGTGATTACGTTGTTGGAACATTGCATCACACTGGTCTCAAACTTTCAATTCCAACGTAGCGTCCATCCGTCTCATTATATATGATATCTATATTGATATATAAACACAAAGATATATTACATCTTTGTGATCTTCTCTTTATCTTCTCTGGGCAGGGGCCCAGTCAGAGTTCACCATAAACAACAGCCGTGCGGGACCAGGGGCCTTGAGCGTGACCATCGAGGGCCCGTCCAAAGTGAAGATGGACTGTGTGGAGCTGCCAGAGGGCTACAGGGTGCACTACACGCCCATGGCCCCCGGGAACTACTGCATCAGCATCAAGTACGGAGGCCCCAGCCACATCCAGGGCAGCCCCTACAGCGCTAAAGTCACAGGTGAGCAGGAGCACATCCAGGGCCCCCCCTACAGCGCTACAGTCACAGGTGAGCAGGAGCACATCCAGGGCAGCCCCTACAGCGCTAAAGTCACAGGTGAGCAGGAGCACATCCAGGGCCCCCCCTACAGCGCTACAGTCACAGGTGAGCAGGAGCACATCCAGGGCCCCCCCTACAGCGCTACAGTCACAGGTGAGCAGGAGCACATCCAGGGCCCCCCCTACAGCGCTACAGTCACAGGTGAGCAGGAGCACAGAGCAGCTGGAGGTCTGAGACAATTTTTAGTGGCCCCTGAAATGATTTTCAATTTTAATTTTCACAGTAACTTGCAGCATTGATGGTAATGGAATACTATGGCATGTTATACTTCATTTTTAACTCTATGTTCTAAAATGTGAAGTTATAGTTAATTAAAGCTGCACTAACTGACTTTGGGATTGTGAAGCCGCGGACCCGCTGGCCTCGCTCTTTCTGCTCCCCTCCCCGCACGCACGAAGCTATCGCCCCCCACACACACCCACTGTTGTTGACGGAGCTAGTGTCTCTCAATATGGATAATACATGGACATGGATTTACACGTGGATGGCGTGACCATAGAACGATAGAACCGGGAAGCGCGGAGGAACGAGACTTTCTTTTGGATGGCTGTCTCGCTGTGTAAGCAGTAACCGGTGACGAAGACAAGGAAGTTTCAAGTTAGCGCCGCCGCTTGTTGTGCTAACTCAGCCGTCTATGCTAACAGGGACCTGTAGATTTCTCACCAAAGTGGGGGCCAGTGGTCCACTGTGATTGGTCACAATCTGCGACCCGAAACCATTCTCTTCCTTGTTTCATCAAAACTCGATCTAATATATAATGTCACGCCAGCACAAACCTGCGCTACTTTTTCTTCAAAAGGACATTTATCCCAAAGCACTGCACGGACATGGATAGCATTTAACTAATGAATACAAAAATAAAGTCCGTTAATGCAGCTTTAATTTATTTTATATATTTATCTATCAATCTTCCAATACATCTCATTCTTGATATTTGGCCCAGATAATATCCAAACTCATGGCAAAAACAACTAATAGTTACAAGACAAAAATATGTGGGAACAAAACAACTGTCGTACTTCTGGCCCCAACCAGTTCTTATGTTTTTAAATTTGGCCCCGACCAAAATGAGTTTGACACGTCTGCAATAAAAGATCAATAACCACAAACGCTGCTTTTTCAGGTCCTCGTCTGGTGAACGTGACCAACGCCAGTGAGACTTCCACGCTGACGGTGGATCCGGCCGTCCGCTCGTCCAGCCTCAGTCCTGTCCACAGCGCCCCCTCCTGGACCACCGAGGCCGACGCCAGTAAAGTGCTGAGCCGAGGCCCGGGGCTGAGTAAGGCCTTCGTGGGACAGAAGAGCAGCTTCAGCGTGGACTGCAGCAAAGCAGGTCAGAAAACATCTCACTCTGACCTCCTCCACCTGCTTCAGCTAATGTACGTCACTGCAGGCGGCTTCTGCAAGTAACTGTAGCAGACAAAAAAAAGATACCGCTTTCTTCTGCTTTATCTGTGGCCTGGTTGTAGCGGCAGTCCTGAGCAGAGACGCCCAGACTAGGGGCAATTTAAGGAATAAAACTGTCCAAACACACTTCTCCAACTTATTCAGAGGAGTCTTGAGTATTATCCAGTATCTTTCCAATATTGTTAAAGACCAATCCATATATCAGCTTGTTTCATTATTTAAGTTTTTGAAAAATCGCGGTTGGACCTAACTTCTTCCCATCCGGCGGATATGTGACCATGGCATGTTTTACCTCATTTTAAAGGTCATTTCCTCTATTTTTTCTTAAAATGGCATCAAAACATATTAAGTAATAATACAAAAAAACCTGTAGATCAAGTGACCACCTTTGGTTCAGTCCTGTTTAAATCCAAACACAACTGCTCGAAACTACAGAATAACAATATCCAAACCCCACAAAAGCATTGATTTGTACAAAACGCCTCCATCGTGTAAAAAGTAAATGTACAAAAAATATCCACAAATTCTAAATATGAGCTATAAACTATAAAGACTTCACAAATAACTTGAAAAATAACCAGTATTCTTCATCTCCTCTTCTTTTCCTAATTGCTAACTAGCTTACTAAAATTGGCCCCGTACCCCATGTTTTTCTTCAGCCTAAAGAAACTGATATTAAAAATGAATTCTTTATTATTCATTCATGGTCCACAGTCTGTACCTGTAAGCAAGTATTGTACTATAGTGTTGCATAGTAACCAATGGTGACCATGTGTGTTGCTGGTGTTGCAGGAAAGAGCATGCTGCTGGTGGGAGTGCACGGCCCCCATGTCCCGTGTGAGGAGGTGGTGGTCAAACACATGGGCCGGCTGCAGTACAACATCAGCTACGTCCTGAAGGAGAGGGGGGACTACGCCCTGGTGGTCAAATGGGGCGACCAGCACGTTCCTGGCTCGCCCTTCCACGTGGTCGTACCCTGAACCCCGACACACAAACCCCCAAAAAAACAACAACAACCGAGGCTTTTTTTTTTTTACACTTCACGGACTCTGACTCTTTCACACTTTGGTCTAAAGGACTTGGTTCAAATGCTAATGCTAATGCTAATGCTAAATCTAATAAGAAAGCTTGAAGTAAGTCGGGTTTTTTTTAGCACAAAGTCTTAAGATTTCTTGATAGCTACCACGTCCACTCGACCATATTCTGAGATCAAGCTAAAAACCGACATTTCTATCTCTTTTCTTATCAAATTGGCAAATACCGGATCCAAAATATCGCAAAACCAACAGAGAATTTCACTCATAACAATCAAATCTCAAACACTGCAATTAGAATGAAGAAATCTAGACTGTTGTAACATATTTTAGCCCATGACTGCAATTTAAAGTTACGTGACTGGGGTAAAACTGGAGGAAAAATGTCTATATCTATAAATCATGTCAGGAGTTCAAGTCTAAACCAGTCTAAACCGGTCCAAACCAGTCTAATCCAGTCTAAACCGGTCTAAATATGGTCTTTCTCATATTATATTACAGTTATAGAGAACGTGACATGCAAAAACTGGCTTTTCACAACTTTAGACCATGCTATGAGTTGTCCGGGTTTCATTTTAAATCTAAATCCGTGACGCCCATGCATTTTTGCTCAAAAGGGAAAAAAAATCCCCTGATTGCCAACTTGATCTTGGCACACGTCTCATTGTCTCACATCACTCCCGTTGGCGAACTCCACCGAACTGTGCCATAAAAACAAAAATATTGTCTTACGTGAATGTAGAACGCTGTTGTTTTTGTGTTTTTTATTCTTCTGTAAATATTGTTTTGTCCAAAATTTGTGCTAGTTTTAGTGTTGTTTTAATGATACTTGATGTAAAACTTAAAACTGGAACCGCTCAAAGGGAATGAGACGCCTGGAGCCTGAGTCGGTAAAATAACTGAATTCTTATGATTACAGAATTTAAAAAGTGCCAATATTTACGGTTCCTCTTTCTCGATGCTTTGATGATGGATCCAAAATTAGTCATTTTTTTTAGCCGTCGCTTTCACAATATTCACATGTTGACGATCTTATGTTCTGGGAAATGTCTAAATCAGGGAACTCCAACCTTATCCAATCGGAGAGCTACTTTTATACAGAACAAGAGGCAGAGAGCTACTACTTTTGCAGTCGTACTAAAAATCTACAATTACAACAAAACATGTGAAATATACCATAATACTGTATAAGTCTAAATTTAAACTTGAATTAGACATGTATGGCTCAAAATGTATTCATTCAAGATCAAAATTCTAAATGCTTTGGCGAGCTACCTGAAAGGGGCTGGCGAGCTACTGGTAGCTCCCGAGCCGCAGGTTGGAGACCCCTGCTCCAAGTGGACACTGCTCACCCTTGTGCCGTGGAATAATAATCATCTCATTTAACAAATCTGGTTTTATTTTCTTTGTCTCACTGTAGCTTCTTCCACTACTGATGACTCCTGTTTAGTGCCTTTTCAAACAACTAGAAGCTGCTTTTCTAATCTCCTGCACTACTATGTTTTTGAGGCGTTTTTCCCCCCGATGTTTAAAGTCCTAAAGTGACAATTTTGTGCCTAAAATATAAAGTGGATGTGTGTAAATGTGGTCTCAAGGTAATGAAAAATAACTTCATTGTTTTATTACAGAATCGCAAAATTCACACGTTCAAAACCGCCTTTTCACAATCCCAAACTTGCACAATAGTTGTTTTTTCTGTCTGTAAAGGGTTTTTCTGTGTATCATGTGATTGTGTTGAGTCTGAGTCTGACCTGATGCTGTGGAATCAGTGCTGCTCTGAAAAAGGAAAACACTAACTGGATGTACATTTGATAAATAAAGGATTTAAAATGAGAGATTTCAAGTTATAGACATTGTTTTCCATGAGTGACTGTCTTGAGTGACGCAGCAAAGTGGGCGGGCTCTTCTATTCCGGGAGCCAATCAAATGTATTGTTACGACAGATGACTTTTACTGACTTTACATTATCGTATAGAGGGTAAAAATCAATTCTTTCAAAACTTGCCCCAGTGGTAGATGTGTGGAATTACATCCTGATTTAGTTTTTGGATCTAAATCTACTGTGGTGAGGTCTGATGGATGGCTGTAAAGAGGCTGAAGAAATTCCCATAACTGTCTATTTTAACCTTTTTTAGTTTAAAAAAGGTTAAAAAAGACAAAGGATTGGGTGATTTTTGACTCGGAATGTGTAAAAACTCACAAAAATAACAGCAAACATGTATCAAAACTAAAGCAAGATACAAACATAATCAGTCATCCATATTACTCAGAGTTTGAGCTGTTTCTAGCCCCACTCCAGCAGGTGGATTGCATCAGTTATGAGTGCTTCGAAGCCACATGCGTCACCGGCAGGAAGATTCTGGCAGCAGACGGTGGATTTGTAACTGCAATGGCTTTATTATCTTTATGGCTAAGAACGCAGATTTACATACAGCCCCTTTAACTTTGGCCAATCAGAGCAGAGGATGCAGTCTCAGCGGGAGTTTGAAGAGTCAGACGGTGGCAAGAAATACAATTTAGAACAAAAATATAGACAATAAAATCGGAATAAATCTTTAACAGCGTTTCTTTAAGCTTACCACAAGATTGTCAGGCTACTTCTCATACACGAGGCCCTTTTGAATCCCCATAATGCTTTGCGGCAGAAGCAGACGCATCAGAAAACAAAAACGGGAATTACAGCATTTCCATAAAAATCATAACATTTTCTTTCAGTAAAAAAAGAAAAGAAAAAGTCAGCTGTGGTTAAAAAATATTGTGAAAATAATAATGAATTGAAAACAGCACAATATTTGGAATCTATTTATTTACTCATTGATAAAAACGGCAGTTCGCGTCTCACAAACTGAACCGCCACAATCGACCGAGAAAATCACATGTTTTTGTTCTGGGAGGGTCTGACTTTACGGTGGCTGAGTGGTTAGCCCTCTCAATTCTCAGCAAGATGTTTGTGAGAGCCAGAGCAGTTAAAATGCTAAAGTGTTTAATTTAAAGTTAAAAATATAAAATCGTTTTTTGTTAAAAGGTCAATCAGATTATATGTTAAAAACAGTTAAAACCCTTTAAAGTTAAACGGTTAACATTCTTAAGTTAAAGAAAGATTCTAAAATGTTATGAGTTACTGTAATTCTCATGATGATTAAAGACTGTAAAAAGTTATTGCAAATATCTAAGTTTAAAAACGGGTAGAGCAGCTTTAAAATCAGAGGCACTCCCATTATTTAGACTGCTCTGATGTCATCGGTTTGAGTTTGAGCGCAGGTGTGGGACCATGTGGGACCATGGGAGAACACAGATTTTCTACCTGCAAACTGTGGAGGACTGTAATGTTCATTTTCTATTATTTTCGTTCAATAAATGGACTTAAACGGATTACGTCTCCCTGGTCTCTGTCAGAAGAACTTTTGCACCTGGCTCACTGTGGCTGTCTGTAAATGAGCCACCACGATGGTCCTGGGTTCGAATCCTGGTTGAAACGGAGCCTTTCTGAGTGGAGTTTGCATGTTCTCCCCGTGCCTACTTAGGGGAAACCGGAGCACCTGGAGGAAACCTATCATTAAAAAACATTTACAATAGGTCAGATTTGATTCCAGAGATTCTCAATTGGCGCAGACAAAAACAAGTTTACATTATATTACGCTCTTACTTTAATTAGATTCAGGTCTGAGTGAATGGGGGTTATGAATACATGGGATGAATGTGCTTTTGTTGCGTTTCCATAGCGACAGCAAACAGACCCCCACAGAGTCCTGCATATTCATGAGGAGGAAGCAGAGTCGTGTTTCTGTGTTTCCTGAGACACACGAGCTGAACGCCACAACAAGGTAACGTACAGATGGATGTATACAACCGTCATGTATGATTGTGTGGTTATGATCAAGTTTGTTTGATGTGTAGCGGAAGGAAGGGGAATTTATATGGGATTGATTATGTTTAGATTTTTTATCTTTTTCTTAGCTTTCATGTGAGCTCTGAGCAGTGTTCTTGTGTATTGAGAATTTACTTTTCTGTAACTAAGGGTGTGTGTGTGAGAGAGAGAGATATAAAATGTGTATGAAAGTGTTTGTGAGACTGGGTGCATGTACCTGGCCTCCTCCATCTACACCTCCGGACTGCCCTGCTCGACCCGCCTGGGAGTGCTTCAGTCCTGCACCGGACCTGTCCACGTTCAGAGGCCACTGCGTGGCCCTGGTCCACGTTCTGTAGCTTAGGTCCTGTATCTACAGCCCGTCCGTCTGTGGGAGAGGATCCCTCTCTCAAAATGTGGATCTCCCCGAGGTTTCTCACTTTTTTCCCACTGGGTTTTTTTGAGTTTTTCCTCTGATGCAGGAGGGTCTGTTGGGCAGTTAGTGTCCAACAAAAAGGACTGTGATGATCCAGGACACGTTGACATTCTTCATGTATGACATTTATCAACATTCATGGACATTGGTCTCCTATGGACCAATTCATATGTTTATATTTTGTGTCTTAACTGTTGATTCTCTGATCTGTGTTGGTGATTTCAATGGTTTTCTGAGATTACTTCTTTTGTTATTTAGGGCTATACAAGGAAAATTTGTATTGTATTGTGTGTGTAGAGTGTATGACAGAGAGAGAGAGAAAAATAAAATGTGTATGCTTTTGCGTGTGTGTATAATGAATGATATAGTGGTAGTAGATTGTGAGCACAGAGTGAATAAACTGGACCTGGATGATCCTGTGGCAGATGCGGTCGCTGCTGACCACTCAGAGCCAGGACTCGTACAGAGAACAGATCCACAAAGAGATGATGACGAGGCTCCACTGGAAACATCGCTACGGCAACCTCTACCCCCACAACCAGCCCAGCACCAGCCCTGGGTCTGGGCCCGGTCTCTACACAGACTCTTCAGAGACTGAGCCAAGACCAGGAACCAGGTCAGCTTTACTCTGGACATTTATTAACCTTTAAACAGACATTGTCCTCCCTCTCCTTCTGGACCAACGACTTCTGGGTGATTGTTACAGTGTTCAAACAGTTTGATTCTCTGATCTGTTGGTAAATTGACAACTTTGTAAAGTCTTCTAAGAGGACTGCTATTGTGATTTAGAGCTAAACAAAAATTAATTGAATTGAACGTTTTAAAATCCAAAACAGAGGAGTGTTCTTTCTAATGATTGCTGTTATTGTGCTCAGGGGTGTGCTGCCTCCCATCACCATGACAACAGTGAGGAGGAGGAGTGACGCCTCTCTCTCCTCAGTCTCTCTTCCGGTGACATCACTGCCCTCTCCTCCGGACAGAGTTCGACCGTTCACAGTTCCTCCAGTGATGAGAGCCGCCTCCCCTCAGACTAGACAGTCCCTGTACCAGGACTCCTCCCACCAGGTGAGACAGTCCCTGTACCAGGACTCCTCCCACCAGGTGAGACAGTCCCTGTACCAGGACTCCTCCCACCAGGTGAGACAGTTCCTGCACCAGGACTCCTCCCACCAGGTGAGACAGTCCCTGTACCAGGACTCCTCCCACCAGGTGAGACAGTCCCTGTACCAGGACTCCTCCCACCAGGTGAGACAGTCCCTGTACCAGGACTCCTCCCACCAGGTGAGACAGTCCCTGTACCAGGACTCCTCCCACCAGGTGAGACAGTCCCTGTACCAGGACTCCTCCCACCAGGTGAGACAGTTCCTGCACCAGGACTCCTCCCACCAGGTGAGACAGTCCCTGTACCAGGACTCCTCCCACCAGGTGAGACAGTCCCTGTACCAGGACTCCTCCCACCAGGTCACACTGTCACTCCCCTATTCGTCCCGGAAACCGGATTCGTTCGGAAGTTCAGTTTGATCCATTGATCATACGCAGCAGTAGATTACGTCACAGAATCTGGACGGAAGCGGAAGCAAATATAAAAAACTATCTATTCATGCCTAAACTTAATAATCCCAACCCAGCGTTTACCCTAAACTTAACCATCTTACTTAGACACCTAAAACTTAACCAGTCACCACTTAAGGACTTATTAACTGAACTTCCGGACGAATCCGGTTTCCAGGACGGATCCAGTAGCCACAAGACAGTCCCTGTACCAGGACTCATCCCACCAGGTGAGACAGTCCCTGTACCAGGACTCCTCCCACCAGGTGAGACCCTTTATGGACAATGAGGGCAGTTCTAATCCGTAATACATCAAGTTGTATCTCGGTGTGAGAATTTATAATTATGTTCAAATCTGAGACCATTTTTAAAATTGTTTAAAAATAAGTTTGTGGAGGAGAGAGCGTGTGTGTGTCCAGATATACATGTTGGAATTAAAGGACCAAGCTGCAGATCTTCTCCTTTAGACACAGACAACACTGTAAGAGTAAAAACTAGAGACAGTTTCTATAATACTAAAAAATGGCTTAGATCTAAAGGTGAAGAAACAATGTTGTAACATGATCGACTCTAATCGAGTGAGTCGTGTGTCCAGGGAAGGGGGCGGAGCCTGTACCTGAGGAGGCGTGGCCAGATGTTACCTGAGCAGAAGTTTGATTTCCCGCTGGTGTCGTCCTGGGAGTACGGCTGGAGACTCGGTGAGGACGCACAAGAACAAACATTATGCATCATCGGCTTTTGTTTTGTCTAAAAAGAATCTTACATATTCATACTTTTGCATTCTCTGTTTGAGAAAGTGAAATAATTGCTAAAGTAGAAAACATATAGAATAGAAAAAGTATCCTTTGTAATAAAACACACATGTCATTTGACTATGGGAACAAAAGTCAACGTTAATTTGTCTTAAAACGCCATCAAAGGATTTGTTTGAGAGAGAAGCATTTATACATTTATATTGTCTTTATATTATCCTTTGGTAAAACAATACACTTTTTGTTGTAGAAGATGGAATAAGTACATTATTATGGCAAATTTGTACTTCAAAAATGTACAAATCATTTTCTCAACGCCTTTAATTCATTTCAGAAATAAAAAAAATGACATTGTAGAGATATTGCTATCTAATAAATAATATGCTTAATAATAATAATGCATTGGTTTTTTGTAGACACTCAAAGACTCAAAGCGTTGTCAAATTCATGAGTTAGATGTAGGAAAACATGTCTCTTCTTCTGTCTGTGCGTTCATTGTGGTCTTGACAACGGTTGCTAAGGAGCTTTATACTGGCTCTTGGTTCATAAAGAAGTCCCATCCCTTGGAGAAATGCAACTATCTTTTCAATCCTCTGTTATTACCAGTGCATCTCGTTCATTATTCTTCTGTTTCTTCAGGCGATTTCACTCTGGATTACAAAACTCCAACTCGAGCTCGATCTTCAGTCGTCAAAAGCACCTTTTACGCCCGGAACGGAGTCTTCAATGAGTCTTCTCCCACAGACACTCTGGGATGAACGCTCCCGCCTCACTCTGGACGTTCAGGGCCTCATTTATCAAGACTTTGCGCTTGTGCAAAAGTGGATCAACAATTTATCAGCTTTTCCACACACACACACACATACATACATACACACACACACACACACACACACACACACACACACACACACACACACACACACACACACACACACACACACACACACACACACACACACACACACACACACACACACACACACACACACACACACACACACACACACACACACACACACACACACACACACACACACACACACACACACACACACACACACACACACACACACACACACAGTCCAATGAATGAATAAACATGTAAAACTGGGTCTTGTTTCCAATATGTGAAGGAGGGATCGCAAATGAAGTTGTTAAAGCTGGAGTACCTAACTTTTTGTTTAATGAATAAATACATTTTGTTTGTCCCAACAGAACGACTCTTGTTCTTGAAAAAGCATACAATACAATACAATACAATACAATGTATTCTTGTATAGCCCTAGGTCACAACAGTATCATCTCAGAGACTTCACAAAACCATTGAAATCACCAACACAGGTCAGAGAATCAACAGTTAAAACACATGAAGAATATAAAGCACACACAGAAGAACATGTCCATACATGTTGTAGAATGCTAAAGTGTCCTGATCATCACCAATCCTTTCTGTTGGACACTGTGTCATTCACAAGCATGTTGTCATTCACCAGATGAGAGCTGATTGGCCGAAGGCTGGTCGTCCTTTTTCTGTTTGAATAAACTGATATTAACTTCCAGCACTAACTACATCACTAAGGAGCAGTGTTGGGCACGTTACTTTGAAAAAGTAATTAGTTATAGTTACTAGTTACTTCTCCCAAAAAGTAACTGAGTTACTAACGGAGTTACTCCACTATAAAAGTAACTAGTTACCAGTAAAAGTAACTATTGCGTTACTTTTTTAGTTTTGTTCTGGAACATAATGTGCACTCGACGTGCGCATTTTTACCTTTAACAGTGCCAATATTTCCATCTAGAAAAGGCTGTTTTGCTGCTGAAGTCCTGTTCACTCTTCATCTCTCACTGTGCTGTAAGCACTAAACACCAACACCCGCCACTGTGAATGTGGAAACACCGGTGAAGCACTGACTTCAGCCCAATCAGATGGACATATTTATCATATAAATCAAGTGGACAATTTGTTTGGCTACAGCAAAATATGTTTTATGCCCGCATTGTTTGTTCATACAAAACGCAAAACTATGAGTTATGGGTCTTACCTTATAGCTATACCTTATAAATGACCTGCAGAGTCCACTTCGGTTCAGACCAGTTCCTTGTTTAAATCCAGTTAATGGTTTGAGCGTAGATATGTAATCCTCCATTTGGAAATGAGTCCAATGAGTTTTAAAAAGTAAAACAAAACGCGTGTGTCCTCCATAAACTCCTGTGTTTTGCTAGCGGCAGCCGAGTGCATCCAATTTCTAAAATCAACCGTCTAACACTTCACCTCTCTTTCTTATCATTCCTATAGTAATTGAAAAATTACCCTATGTGCATTTTAGATTATGTAAAAATGTGTTATATGTATGTTAGCCAAACCTGTTGCAGCTCTTAGCAGATAAACCAGGAAGAGCAAGGAGCTTATCGATGGAATTGTATGCAGCCGTCTTCTGCGCTCACATGAGCTACTCTGTGGCTATGGAGCTATTATTGTTCCAATAATATTTGTGTGTGCGTAACCAGATTTGTGTGTGCGTAAAAAAAATTGTGCGTGCGTAACCAGATTTGTGTGTGCGTAACTAGATTTGTGTGTGCGTAAAAAAAATCAGTTTGTGCAAATCCAGATTTGTGTGTGTGTAGAAAAAATATTTGTGCGTGTGTAAATAGATTCGTATGTGCGTAACAAGATTTGTGTGTGCGTAACTAGATCTGTGTGTGTGTAAAAAAAAAAATATTGTACGTTATTCACACAAGTCTTTTTTTACACACGGATCTTTTGACACTGTCCTGCCTTCGCAGATTCGTAAGTGTAACTTGTACAGTGTGCACGTGTATCCAGATTTGTGTGTGTGTAATTTGACATTTGTATCTGTAAAAGCACAATCTGTGTGTAAATAACCACGTTGTGTGAAGAAAACCACGGAAAAACGGTGTTTTACACACACATTTCTTTTTGACACACCTCTCCCGCCGAGCGTGTGTCAAAAAGATTCGTAAGTGTAATGTGGTTGTTTTAGCAGTACACCAGCAGATGGTGCTGTTGTAGCTGGTTCTTAAATGTAAGCAACTGAAGAAAACCAACACTCGCCTGCACAAAATGGAGAATCGCTCAAGCAGCGGGGTTGCGCCCTCCTCAGTAAGTGACTTTTAATTGTTTAGCGGGGTTTAAACTGTTATTTACTTTGTAGACCATGCAAGTACACCGACAGTAAAGGTGTTCAAGTCTTCAGCTGGCTAGCATTCGTTGACTGGCTTATGTGCTACTAGCCTTGACCCCAAAACATCAATTCACTGAATTTGTGACCCTGTCACAGTCGATATGTGCAGTCATTAATGCAAAATTTGATTGTATAGTTAATTTCTGTCAATTTAGTATATTGAATCACTATTAATTTCACGCAATGCCGTTCCCGCCAACAGTATTAGCTATGTAACTAAGCATTAGCGTTTGCTAACCAAGCTAGCTAACTAGTTATATCTGTAATAAATGACCACTGCTAATTTACCTGCCGTATATAGAATGTAGCAAAATATTTTCAGGAGAACTAAATCCTCCTTATGTTTTTGTAGAAACAAGAACATGTGGAGGAAGTGGCTAAAAATGTAATTTCCTTGATTCAAAAGAATCTTGAAAAAAATAATGCAGGTTCGTCCAATGCAGAGGCAACCACAGTTAACCCACAAAGGTCTAGTGTGGCATCAGAAATGCAGAGGTATTGTAAACCATGTGATCATTGTCAATCATGCATGTGTGTTGCTTACAATTTTAAATGAAATTCACATATCTGCAGTTATCTATATAACTACATAACTTGCACTATCATTTATTGTCACCTGTCTGTGCTGCTATAAAACAATGAGCAAAATATGCAATATAGAAATGCCTTTGTTTTTTTCTGTTTCAGGTCCTTTCCAGGTTTCCATAAAGGAAAACAACGTTTTGTCCCTGGGCCACTTAAGTCAATTAAACGCCAGAGCTTGCAGGTGTACCTGCTTTCATCAGCTGCTAAAGTTTCACCAACCACAGACGATGACTTGATGTACTCTCAGGCTGGACTTGGGATGAAAATTATTAGTTTCCCAGAAGATGCATCGCATGAACAGGTTTTTTTCTTTTTCTTTTTGTTGGTCTCTTGTACAACCACTTGATTGTATGCAGGTTGGGCCTGGAATGTTCCTGGCTGGGAGACCTTGTGTGATCCAATAAATCTGGTTGAGTGAGTAGTTAGTGGTGGTTAGAGGGTAAGTCTGTCCCAGGGGCAACTGTTACAGTACTATAAATGTTGGTTATCACCTCCAGCTATGGAGTCCCCTATGTTAAAGTACTCAGAGATTGGTGTCATGTGTAATAGTGATATATATTAGGAATGACACTCCTAATTTGCACAGTGGCAGGGCCAGGTGAACTTTATTTTTTTCATTTTTAACCAGATGTAATTTTATTTTAGATTTCTCAAGAGTTGGGCATTGAGTTCCCCAAGCTTCCAAGCTTAAAAGGAGCGTGGCTGTTCTACAAGGCTTCAGGTAAATTGAATATTTGTAACATTTTCATTTTTCGTCACACTCCATTAGAATGATATTTCCATTTCTTCTCATTGAATTAATGAGAAAAAGACTAATTTGTTTTATATTCTATTTCAGGAGGAGGAGGTAGAAGAAAGCTTTGTGTTATTAGCCCCCAAGCTGATGGTTATACGACACCTTACCTCAAGAGAGCATCCAATGGAGGGAAAAATACTCTGTATATAGCTCCTATACAGGGTGAACTTGATATCACCCCCCTTGAGAAGAACGCTGTGGAGTTCAGTAAAATGCCCAAAGCGAGTTGTGAAATTTGCCAAGAGGCTATGCCCTTACATCTTTTGCCACTGCACGCCGTTAATTGTAATAGCACAGGAAATGAAGTGAGTAAAAGATTATCATTGTTGAATTGGTGTATTGTTTGGAGCTAAGTAACTTGTGTATAAGACTTTCTGGTGGCCCAGACACTGTATGAGGGCCGCGTTGCACCCTTACTTTTAAACACAGCAACCTTTATGACCTTGGCACATTTATTTTCCTTCACAATTGTCAGAAAAAATAGGGTGTATTTTTCTCCACCAAAAAGTTGCTTGGTTTCTTTTAATATTGACTTCATGTTAAATAATTATTATTACCCAATTATCCATGAACTGATTATACTTTTTGTGTGTCTTCGTCTGAACTTTTTATTAGGACTCGCAAGTTGAGTATATTGACGACACACCAGCTGCTCTAACTACATCCAAGGATTTATTGCCTACCCCTACAACCACATATCAAGCTACAGCTGAAGTATTGTTATGACTCTTGATCTCTACTGTATATATTATTCTCAATTTTGTGTTGGTGTTCAATAACCTTAAATTTATTCCACCCTCAAGAAAGTACCATGCCCGGTATGTAATGAGATTTTTGATTTGGATACTGTGGAGTCCCATGCTAGTTTCTGTGTTGAGAGGTAAGACATGTACACTGTTAACGGTATGTTGTGTTTATGTAACATATTTGACCAGATCTCCACTTTTAGAGTTTTTGGTGAGCGCACCGATGAGGTTCAAGAAGTTTGGGAGAGTTCAGGCCCAAGCACTTCAGAAAACTGGAAGAATTCGAAAGATCCCCATAAAGCAATTTTGCTTTTTACTCAAGAAATACTTCACAGGAAAAATTCACAACCAGCAAATCGTTTGACTGTAGACTTAAGAAGAAACCAAGAGGAGCAGGATAGAAGCTACATGTGCTTTTATAAAAACCCTCGTGTGGAGTGGGCCTCTCCACTTTCATGTACACTTTCAGGTGTGCCAAAAAGAAAAATCAGGGTTGACCTTTTTTGTGACCCTTGCTCTAAAGTGACATTTCATTTTATGTTTAATTAAAATGCTGTGTTTATGTGCAGGTGATGCTGCAGTGGGACTTGGAGTTAATAGACATGTTATGTCCTCATTAATGTTTAGGCTGAGAACTGGATTCTACATCAATGTCGGTAAGAATGTTGTTCTTTTTGGGGGGGGGTTAAAAAATGTGTGACGTTTATAAAGGTCTTTCATTTTGAAATTAATTAGGAAATGGTCCAGTTACAAGGATCTTTGAAGGCCAGATGGACCACTTGGTTCCATCCAATTCTGCTGTGATGTTGGAGGGTGAGCTGTTTCAAATGGCAGGACGAATGCTGGGCCATTGTTTCCTATATGGTGGCCCTGGGTTCCCAGGTTTGAGTCCTGCCATAAAGCACGTACTGTGTGGTGGCTCATCTGAAACTGCTGTAATATCCATTGAGGACTGTCCAGATCTTGACATTAGGGATACTATTGAGCTTGTAAGATATTGTCCCTTTATCTTGCTAGTTTTGCACTTGTCCCACCTCTTAACTCCTTTCTCTCATATAGCTAAAGAAAACTGATGTTTCTGAAGAAGAACGCCAACAATTACTAAATCTCTGTCTGGCTTGGGACTTTCCATTGCCCAGTAAAGAGAACATAAACTGGCTACATGAGAAACTTCTTATCCGCGCAGTACTGTTCATTCTGTTTTGCACTTGAGGGAATGCAGGAGTATGTTGAAGTAAAATTAAAGATCTTTACCTTTTTCTTTTATCTTTTTGTAATATAAACATTTTGGAATCAATCATAACAAGACATGCACTCTCAAACACAATACCACATCAAAAGATTATGTAAATCTTGGCCTCATGAGTGTCAAATAATTTTACTGAATGAAATGTAAGTTTTAATTGGCTTGTTAAATTGTCCGGATTTTAATGGGGAATAACAATTGGAAAAATTACCTCTACATTGATATTGACATGAATCATGTACTTTCCCGTCAACAATGAATCCTTTTTTGCAGGTTTTAGGTCGGGCTTCCAAGCAGCTGAAACAGATCAGAAAGGGCCTTAAGGAAACTGGAATCTGGCCTATTCTTTGTGAGAGAGAGGATGTCGCAAGATGTTTTTTCCCAACGGAAGCTGAGGCAGAGATAACCGCAGAGGTTGAGGAATATGAAATACATTTTTTTAACCCCAATATCCTTTAATTTGCATGTTCTGCCCATTGTTATTATACTTATTCAATAATAATGCATTGGTTTTATATAGCGCTTTTTTTGAACACACAAATGACGCTTCACATCATTATTCATTCAATCCATACACGGTGGTGATAAACTACTACTGTAGCCACAGCTGCCCTGGGACCCACTTACAGAAGCGAGGCAACCAGTCTGTGCCATCGGCCCCTCACACCACCACCAACCATTCACACACACACCAGACTCATTCTAGGCCATGTGTGTAAAGTGTCTAGCCTAAGGACACAATCGAAGTTTGGCACTTTACAGCCGCAGCCATGTGTGTTCATGAACATGCACAGTCCCAGCAAAATAAATAATAAAAAGACAATGTATTTTTATTCCTAAAAAAATGAATTATTGTAAATCTATACCACATGTTATGTCATATGTTCATTTGTACCTGGAAATTGGTACAATCTTTATCGGGAGATAACCAACTTTGTGGTGAGCCATGGGGAAATGAACAAACCTCTTTGAGGGTTTAAAGGGAGTACTGTATCAAAGTTTATTTGTAGAGCGCCTTTCATACACATGTGCAACACAAAGCAGTCCACATCACAAATCATCACATAAAACAAATATCAGATCACAATTCAAAAATTAAAATCACAAATTAAAACCATACAATCTTTAAAATTACAGAAGGAATTAAAAAATAAATGACCACAGTGCATAAAAAAGAGCTAAAATCCTTCAGTTGTAAGCACATGCAAACAAGAGTCTTTAACCTGGATTTGAACATTGTCAAAGTAGACGCCTCTCACATTTTCAGGAAGATAATTTTTTCTTCTGACATTTGTGTGAACATAATTTCAATATAAATCATGTATTGCAAATTTCACACATCTTATGGCAGGTTTTGTTGCATGTCTGAGAGAGTGCCCCTTTTCTTTTAGGTTATACTATCAAGGATTCTGTGGCCGTGTCAAAGTGTCGATTCCGACTCTGATGATGAAGACGCCAGCTCTGCTGACGAGATAACACGCATATGTGACTTTCTCAAGACATATATTAACGAAGGTATGCTGAAGATTATAGAATATTTCAATAAATGTCATTAAAACGTTTTGTACAACAGCCTCTTCAGAGAAAAGGAAACAACTCCTGAAATTCTGGGTGGGTTGGGAAGTTACTCCAGCAACACTGATTGTAAAAGTCACAAGTGGAAAACTTCCCAGAGCCTTCACCTGTTTTGACACAATCAAGTTGCCTACCCATTACTTTACTTATGAGGAATTTAAATCTGACTTGGAGGCTGTCACTGCAACTTGTGAGACAGGATTTGGACTGCCTTGAAATTCACTAAAAGCAGCCTTGAATCAAAGTATGTTAAACTAAGCTGATGTTGAAATGTTTTTATGAAGATTCCATTTTTGATGTTCCGAAGTTGTTACGGCAACAAAGTATGTTGAACTAAGCTGATGTTACAATTTGTTTATGACAAATCCATTTTAGATGTTCAGAAGTTGTTACGGCAGATACTGCTGGTTTGACACCTTTCCAAATTCAAGTTAGCATTTACTGAGTTATCAACGTAACAAAGTCTGAGTTTACTCAACTACTCACAAATAAGAGTGGAGAATGCTTTTGTGGTCATTTCTATCCATTTCACTATACAACTACACAAATCTAGTGCTTAAATATAGAGTGCAGTTTATTTAGAACCAGCCACACCCAGGTCTACTACATTTAACTAAAAAGCACACTGGTAAGTTTTACTGAGGAGGCAGAGACAGTATTCAATCCTACAAAATGTTTATTTTAACACCACAAAACAATGCAAATCCAAAACAGGAAACACCACCTAGCCGTCGGACCTTCAGCCCCTAAGCACAGTGGGCAGTGAAAGTGATGAACTGTCAATAAAATGTAACATCCAGGCTTGATGAGCATGGAAGGTGCAGTAAGTCCCTCTTGTCAACCTAGCTGGGATATGCGGGCTCAGGAACTGCGCAAAGTGAGGCCGAGTGGACAGAACCAGACTTCACACTTGACCAGGGCGCAGGATGCACAGGCAGCGCAGATGAGTGAGCAAAGCAACTACGTCTACATGCACAAGGAGGCAACGAATGTTTTCTTTTACAGTAATCATGTTAAACATGTATACATATATGGGCGCATGTTGATAATTGTGTTGTAAGTAGGTGTGTGATATCTGTCAAATGTTTATTGCATAAACGTATGTTATGTGTATATAGTCTGTTTATATATTGCATGTTTGCATGAGTATGTACACATGTGTTTATATGTATGTATATGTAGTATATATATATACATGTAAGTATTAAAAAAATATATCTGTGATAGGTATTTGGTAAGGGGGTTGGCCCAGATAAGCTGTTCCAGCTTCTGCCAACTCCCTTTTGGGCTATTTGGGTTTCTTTTTTTATGCTCGTCTTTTGTATCATTGATTTTTTTTAGCTTCTAGATGCCCAAAATAAACTTAAAACCTTGAAACAAGCAAACTTTTAACTTGAGCCTTATTCGCAGCACCAATGTAAGAGGATAAGAGAGCGGCAAAATTTACACAAATTGCAACATGTGAAAAACTTATCCTAAGAGTGTAGGCCTGCTTTGGTTTTGGGCTAATCTTAAAAGGAAAATGGGTAGAAGTGAGCAGGCTCAATTAAATGTCAATACAGTTTATTCTTGTATAGCCCTAAATCAACCTTCTGTTAAAATTGTCAACACAAATCACAGAATCCCACCCCATGTCACTTGTCCAGTGTCGGTTGCCCTCTTGCCTGTATATACTAGCTCCAGTTTTTGTTATGCAATTGCAATAAGTACAATATTCAGTTTATCTACCATTAACAATTCTCTCCACACATTCAACAGTGGCCTGGTAAAGGTCAGTTCCATAACTATCTGAAGTGGCAAGAGGGTCTACTGTGTGCCTGAGTTGATCCATTTCCTGTTCGTTGAGAGGACTCTCAAAAACTGGAACTTCAACTAAAAAACCCACTTGACTCCCACTCTATTTCTGGCATCTGCAAACCACAAAAAAAGAAATTTCTATTAATGAACAATGACTTCAGGGATGCACCGGTACCGATATTGATGTAGATCAGGGGTTAAAGCAAAAAAAAAAGATTTGACTGAAAATTTTTGCATGGAAATTTATCACATGTAAATCACAGTAATATGCAGTTATATTTTTAATTACAATATATTATTGTATAATAGATTGTATATTGAATACAGCTCAAATTAATTCTTCAAAGATATACAGTGTATTTTGATATGAAATATAAGTGGATCAAGCAACGAGTCAACTTTTTGACAGAATATTAGTGAGAGTAGCTTTACTTGAGGCGATATGGAGCGTCAACACTTTGGCTCTGTCCTCGTCAAAATATCGCAAAGGGACGATAAAATTCTGTCCACATTTATTTGTGGACACGTCAATATTTAAGAAAAAGGTTTCCCTATCAAGTTTGAGTGCACAGTGCACTTCGATCAACTGCAAATGATTTAAATAAATGTACCAGCGGTAGTGATATTCTGAACGTTATTTTCTGCGATAAAGCCACAGACACGGTCCGCCAGAGCAAGCCTAGTGTCAGTTGTTGCTGATGCACCAGGTAAAGATGAAGTGTGGGAAAGTGCACAAACAGCTGCCTTGTGCGCAGTTTTGAGCTGGTGGCGAATCAAAACTTTTTTCTCATTACTCCCATATATGCAATTTTTTATGGCAAAGTACGCACAAGCACCGGCCACTTTCATCTTTTCGTACCATGACTCGTTGATTGGCTCTTTTACATCACGCTGAGTTTTGCAAGAAGATCGCAAACAAGACAATATCAAAAGCTCACCAAGACATGTTTGTCCC